GGTGGTGGTGGTGCTGATATCCACAAACACATCCTCGCCGATAATTGTATTACAGTTTAGTAGTTCGTTGAGGTGTTCTCTCTATCAGAAGCTGGTATATCTTCTCTCTCAGAAGGTGCTATCCTTACTCCGCACCGGTTTGAGGCCAAGGGTGTTGGGTATGTAGTTTGCCTTGATGGCACTGAAGAAATCCCGGGAGTCATGTGAGTCAGCAAGGAATTACAGCTCCTTATTTTTCTTGGTGCACCATTGGTTCTTGATTTCCCTTGTTCTTCTTTGTAACTCTGCCTTTGGCGTTTGAAGAGTTCTTCTCTTTGCCTCACTGTTGACGTTGTTTTGCCAGGCACGTGCTTAGGACACCTAAGTTCTGACTGCCGAAACAAGTTGTCTTCACCCAGCTCAATGACAGGAGGTCAAAAGAAACATTTCAAAGACTGCCTGAAGGGTTCCCTCAAGAAATGCAATATAGATGTCAACGCATGGCAGACCCTCACTCAGAAGAAACCGACTTGGAGGAAACCCCTGTATGAAGGGACACATTTCTTCATGACAACCAGTTGCCAAGAAGTACAGAAAAGCAACCAGAAAAAGAAATGTCAACAATCTATAGGTCAAGTACCACCATCACTTCCTGGAAACACCCACCAAATGTATGGTTGGAGATGTGGCTCTAGGATCAGGCTCATCAGCCACACATGGACCCACTGAACCCGTGACCAGTGATATAGAATTTCCTACGTGGAAAGCAAACTCATTAGCAACTGATTACCAACAACGATGATACACAGTGCAAAGTGTGGATAAGCCCTACGGTACTTCCTGTCATGCCCGGTAGAAGTTACATTAGCAATTTCTGCCATCAAGAACTCAAGGGGGAGAATTACATTTTTATGGCAAAAATTTTGTTTAAAAATCTGTTCAACGAAACAAGACCACAAATGAATAATTTCAAAAACATCAAGTTTTATTTCCCATCTTAGATGCCACTGTTGGGAAAGAAATAAATGAGTTGTCGAATCAGCAGAAAAAAAGAATAAACGTAGTGTCGAATTTCACACAACTGAAAAATGAAAGAGTATATAAAAGCCCATTTCTGATAAATCACAGGTGTAGTTATTCCACATCATTCACATGATTTTGTTCCTCTTCTGTAAAATAGCCTACTTTTCTTGTTTCATGGTGAAAATCTTGATAGCTGCAGAAACGTCAGTGGCTCTCATTACTCAAACTTGATTCCTTGAGCAAGAGGAAGTTCCTTGCTGTAGTTGATGGTGCTAAGGGACAACAAACAAAGAGTTACTTGCAATCAATGAAGCAATCATTATCTGAGGCAAGGAATTTTTCAGAAAAATCAGAAGGATCCTCAAACTAATGTAATGGCAGTCATGGGTTAACTCTGGACATAGAGGGGCAGAAAAAAAAACTATTTTAAAAATACTTTGAAGGAGCTTTATTAATTTTGGAAGAGGCATTACAGGTCAATGGCATTCTTGAAGTTTGCAATATCTCCTAGAAACGGGGGCTTTCTTACATTTTGCTTTATTTTGACAATAACACAAGTTACAATAACACAAAGAAAAGCAAGAATACTTTGAGAATGGATTAAAATGGGAGCTATAGTAATATTTAGTCAATAAAATGTATAAAGTGCTGGGAAGGTTTAAGTATTAATTAGCATCTTTACCGATCTTGAATGATTAAAAAAAAAACTCGTCAATATGAAATTCTACAAGCTAAAAGTGAAATTGAAATATGTCCTCAAGATTAAAATCAATTGACTGAATGCACTTAAAAAAAATCCAAAGAAAGTGAAGACAGGTTTCTTGTTCACCAACATCAGGCTTTTAACTACCGCATACACTATCCTTGGAACAAGTCATTTTATGAAATGAGACTTCATCACTGCAAAATCCTGATCCTAGATATTCTACTAAGCAAAGTTTCACAATTGTTTTACTGACACCTATAGGTCAAATCTGCATTTACACATTCAGAGTAACCAGTTGCGTTGATGTAGGGGCTTTAATGTAGAAAAGCCACCTATTTTCCACTTAAGCATCGTGACAAAAATGGACACAGAGTAAACAGTAGAGGCTCAGCGCTTGATGAAAATTCTGGGTTGTAAGGAGTGTCTTAAAAAAAAAAGGGAAATGGAAAAGTTAAGCATTTCATCTTCAAGAGGAACATCAAGGGGAGGCGACGGCGACTGAGCTTGGGGAACACCTCTTGAGTGAAGGCAATTGCATGGCCTCACTCGGGAGACATCTCGTATGGAGGGACTCAAGGTCAGCCCACAGTAAAAGCCCAAAACAATGCCAAGCCTTGGCCAAACGGTTAAAACGTTCTTCAAGATCCAGGCCAGTAAGCCATAGTTGCTGCCGGCATGCGAATTCAAGGCAGCCCCAGTAGGCCCAAATTGAATAAGAAAACTCATAGGCTGATATCCAGCAGAGTGCACACCATGGAAAGTCCACCTTCATCTGGTTTGGAACAATTAAATTGCTTAACACCACCCAAATCAAAACCAATCAAAATAAATATTCCTTTACTTTCTAGCCTCCTGATTTCTACCTCTATATTTGCCCATAAGGCAGATGGCACCCAGTTCTAATGGAGGTCGATACTGGAGCAGCCATTTGAGCAATCGCAATACCAGTCTTTTAACAAACTTCGCACTGGACTCCAACCCTTAAATCAGCATACGACATCAACGAGGCTGAGAACCTATATCTGGGACCCTTTACAGATTAAGGGTACAACGTCAGTTCCGGTCTCTTATGAGAGGCAGCTGTTTCAGTTACCACTGATTGTAGTAGAAGGCTCAGGCCCAAGGCTGATGGGGCGAAATTGGTTGAGAAAGATTCACCTAGATTGACTCAATATGTTTCAATTAGAAAATGGCTGCCTGAGTAAAGCCCTAACTAAATACCCAGAATTTTTTCAGGAAGGTCTAGAGACTATCAAAGGAGCCAAGGCCACCTTGCCTGTTGACCAGGAAGCAATTCCATGATTCTGCAAGGCCTGCCCAGTGCCATCTGCCTTATGGGCAAAAATAGAGGTAGAAATCAGGAGGCTAGAAAGTAAAGGAATCATCAAACCAGTCTGGTTTGTGGAATGGGCAGCACCAGTCATACCGATTGTGAAGCCTGAAGGATTGGTTTGCCTTGGTGAGGATTTTAAACAAACAGTAAACCTCTTTTCTCAGTTGGATAAATACCCAATCCTTCACATAGAGGATTTATACACAAAGGTGGCAAGGGGGCTGTCCTTCATGATGCTGGACATGAGCCATTTGGACTTGCGGTAGATGAGGATCCCCAGAAGTATGCTCTAATTAATACCAATAAAGGTTTGACCAATACACAAGACTGCCATTTGAGGTATTGACAGCCTGTGCCATTTTTTAGCAGACGATACAGAATATTTTACAAGGTCTAGCCCAAGTCGCCATTTATTTAGATGATGCACTAATAACAAGGAAGACCAATAAAGAGCACTTAGAGAACTCGGACATAGTCCTTAGACGTTTCTCCCAGGCGGGCGTTTGCCTTAGAAGGGAAAAGCATGTGTTCCAGCACCCCAAGTGACCTACAAAGGCTACAAAGTCGACAAGACTGGGTTACACCTATTGGAAGATTAAGTGAGGGTGATCAAAGATGCCAAGACTCTCACGTCTGTACCAGACCTTAGGTTTTTCCTTGGGCTGGTCAATTATTACGGAAAGTTCATACATAACCTGGCAACCTTTGCATCAGCTCTTAAAAAGGGTCACTTTTGGAAATGTCATGTACACAAAACCAAGCTTTCAGGGAAGTGAAGAAACAGCTATCATCTTCCCGAGTGTTGGCACACTACAATCCCAAGTGTAATCTGGTGTTGTCATGCGATGCCTCCCCATACGGCATTGTATGCTCGTAGATGGCCCAGCAAACAGGAATACCCAATGGCATATGCATCCAGGACTTTGGCTTATGAGGAGTGTAAATACAGAGAAGGAAGGTTTGTCGGTCAGATGTCCAGTTAGGAAGTTCCACCAAAACCTTTATGGGCATAAATTTGTAAAAAATAACATTCCACAAACCCCTACTAGGTCGACGTAAAGAGAACAAGGCAGTGCAGCCCATAGCTTCAGGCTGAATTCAGCAGTGGACTCTAATATTACGGGCTTATAATTACAAGTTAGAACTCCAACCGGGAGGCCAAGTAGCAAACGCAGACAGATGGAGCTGCCTCCCGCTGCTGGATACACTACAGGTAGTTCAACCACTGGAATTTTATGGACACACTTCCAGTCACAGCTGACAATACCAGACTTTGGATGCAGAAAGATCGGGTCCTGGTGAAATTAAAACAGCTGGTGGTGATGGGGGAAACCAAAAGGGCCATCACAACCAGAATTGAAACCTTTTTAGACACGGAGAGACCAGATACTAGTACAGGACAGCATATTATTATGGGGAGGTGATTGTCCCAAGCAAGGGTCACCACCAAATACTGCGTGAGCTCCACCAGGGTCATCCAGGAGTTTCCAAAATGAAGATGTTGCCAAGAAGTTATGTCTAGTGGCCAGGATTGGATGCATTGTTGGGGCAGTGCCCAGAGTGCCAACAAGGTCAAAAATTACTTCCAGCAGCTCCCCCACATCCATGGGAATGGCTAGGTAAACCCTGGACTTGGTTACAGGTCGACTACACTGGTCCTTTCGTGAGATTCATGTTCTTAGTTACTGCAGACATGCACGCAAAGTTGTTGAATGTGCGTAGAGTTCATTCATCAAAACGCGGGGACAAATGATGAAAAGCTGTGCACACCTTTTGCAATATACGGACTCCTCATTTACCAGCAGGGAATTGATTATTTCCGCTAAGCCAGAGAGGTAGTTTACTTCGGGGGCAAGTATTGATGTAAGAACCACAGGAATAGCCCTGCATGGGCAAGAGGCATGGTCAATGCAAGATCAGGTCCAAATGATGTATAAAGATCAGGTAGGTGCTATGGTCCTGAACAAGCACATGGATCATACAAAAGCTGCAAACTCGCAAACAGTGCAGAAGACAAACGTGCCCGGCTCCTCGATAGCCCTTCAGACTGTTCTGGAACTTGTGGGTTCTTCCTTTCTGTCAGCAAAGATACCTCGGGATCTCAGATGGACACGGCAGATGTCACCGCTTCGATGCCTCTGCCGCCTGACGAAGAGAACGAATTTCTTGCGAGGCACTCCAGACACAAGCAAGCTAATGTGCATTACACACTGCAAATATCAGAGGCAGAGTTGGAGGAACCTGACCCGGTGCTAAGACACCCCAGGAGGAGGTACAAAACAAAAAGAACCAGCCTTTGTCCTCAGACTCAGAGGGACAGGGATGTAGTGATCGTAACGAGATCAGCCAGGGGAACCTCATAGAATGCGAGTTCCCTGATTTGGGCTGTTAATCTGGTCTAATCAGGAAGCTCTGGCTGACAGATATAAACAGGAGTGTCAGAGGCTGTGTTCACTCCGAGAGCTGGCTCTGAGGAAGCCAGACCAATGTCAAGTACGATGTGTAAGTCAAGGGTGACTGGGTGATGGGATACCGGCCTCTGCGGATTCTTTCACATATCTTATGCATGGAAAAAAAAAGTGGTCATAGTGAGTACATAACCAAATCTCCTTAGGATGATTTTCTCAGCCTCAGTACTTCATGAACAGCACCAATCTCTTGTGGATCAATTCTGCCTGTGGGCAAGTAAAGGAATTCTTATTGCTGTGCTATATTTAACTTCACTTCTCAAAGCTGTACATTAACATCATCTTTAATAATAAGAAAAACTAATGACTCCTAAAACAACACAGGCTTGGTGGGATGAATGGCATGTTTGTTTACTGTACTTTCCAAGCAGTCTGTACAACCACAGGTAAACCCAGCAGGGTCAGGGCAACATTGCTGGGCTTCAGGCCTTAAATGGGTGGAGCAGTAACAAAGCAAGTCTCTGGGTAGTGAGGAAAGGATGAACTACTTTTAAATATAAGAGACTGCTTTCCACAGTATTTAACAATGACATGAGGAAGATAGACAGAGCTCTTGAAGGATTTCCTGTTAAGCTAATGTATTCAAAAGATTTCCTTTTAAAATTATGCGGCAAGTGAAACCATCATTTGAAAATTTGCGTTTTGCTACTTTGGATTAAACCCTGTTCATTGAATTTGCAGCAACGAGATGGAGGAGGAAAAGGAACGCCAAAAAATGTAAATTTTTGAATTATTTAGTTGGTTTGTGGAGTGGTGGTTTAAGACCAATTTTTTTGATGAGAGCATATCCAGCCTCACTTCTGGTGTTTAATTGGCATTTTGCCAGTCAGTTCATTATGATTTGCTGCTGCTTTACAAATCGAAAATTTGGCAAATATTTTGCATAAATTCACTAAACAAATAGTAGATGAAATATCTCTGTCTCTGCCTACTTATCTGTATGTAAATATAGCATTTGAACATTTGGCACACCCAAGTCTAACACCTGCAAATTCAACAATACATTTTATTTCAAAGCATGGCTTAAAAAAAGGAGAATGTAAAGAAACATTTACACCGAGGGAAAATGCCTAATGCTTGTCTGATGCAATAACCAACTTTAGGTCTACCCAAGAACCATCAAAGTGATACATGAAGACAAGCCCATAGAACTGGTGGTTTACAGCAACCTAATCAATAACAGCCTGATTTTCAGCAGTAGAAAAATATATTGAACTTTATATAACACTCCTGTATAGCACCACAGAATTCAGCCTGGTGCAAGGGTCATCTGCTGGCTTTTTCTAAATTCCTGTTTTAGAGAATAGAGCTCAGATTTCTAGTTTCAAGAACATCTACCAATTTACAGATAAACCTAAAATATGAAGTTTTAAGTTCTTCAATACTTTTTTTAAAATCTCTGCTTTATTACCTGATGATATTCATTCCAAGTAACAAAGACTAACAATACATTTACGTACCAGGTAGACCTCCTCATATAGTGTTTCCAAGCATCACTGCCAGACTCTCTACCACCACCAGTGTGTTTTTCTCCGCCTAAAAACATGAGAAAAAACAACAGTATTTCAATTTCTTTAACTTTGAGTAAAAAGTAACTATTTTTAAGAGGCAGAAGTGTCTCGTATCATTAGCTTTTGCAGGGATCAACAGCATAATTGTGCAACAAGGGTTGAGGGGTTTAACTGTAAACCACTCCTTGCCCCCAGATGTGCAAAAACTCAGCTGGGTTTAGATCAGATGGCAATTTAAAATGTTAAATTGCTGAAACAGAACATGTTCACTGGAGGCAGCACAAGGGCAAGGCAAATAACTCTTCCTCAGGACCCGGGAGCAAAGGCTATATAATTGAAACCTTAGCAAAAAGTGGTTTATTATTTCGGTTCTTAATTCATCTTGGCAGGTTTTCATAGACCTCAGGAAACAGCAGAAGTAGAAGGAAACGTGAAAGGTTGAACACATGAGGGAAATGCATTTACAGCATTGCTTCTGTGCTCGGAGGTGGCAGTGTTTCTTCATGGTCCCACTAGCAAACCTATACACAACCACCTATCTCTACAATCTAATGACACCCCTCACCCCTCCATCAACACAAAACCAATATTTTCCTCCAACCTCTCTGCAACCCACATACAGCCTTCATCCTCCACTGATCATCACCGCCCGTTGCGATCATGTTTTGACACCCCATCCCAATGCCTCATAACAGCTAACCTAATAATCAGGAATCATAATTGCCCCTGGGCTGCGGCCCTGTCTGAGGGTTTTGCCACCCAACAAAGACCTAAAGCCCAGGAGCCAATCAGGCTGGTTTCAGGAACAGAAGTTGCTGGAAGCTCAGAAGGGCTGGTAGCATCTCTGAAGAAAAAAGTCAGAGTTAACATTTTGGGTCCGGTGACCCTTCCTCAGAATTGATGTTAGCTGAGAAAACATTGGTTTATATGTAGAAAATAGGGAGGGGGATGGGGTAGGGAATAAACAATAGGACAGAGCCCGAAGAGCAGTAGGATAGACAAAGGAGTTAATAACGATCTGGCTAGGAGTGTGAATAGTTGTAAATGGGGACTGTTAGTGACTAACAATAGGTAGTGTGTAATGGCAGGCTATGTGACAACAAGGCCTGGTGTGTGAGGTAGGGGGCTAGGACCTGGGAGTGTTCAGGCCCTAAAATTATTGAACTCGATATGGAGTCTGGAGGGCTGCAGGGTCCCCAAGCTGAAAACGAGGTGTTGTTCCTCCAGCTTGCGCTGAGCTTTGCTGGAACACTGTAGCAAGCCAGAGACAGAGATGTTGGCCAGGGAGCAGGGTGGTGAGTTAAAGTGGAAGGCAACAGGTAGCTCAGGGTCGTTTTTTGCGAGCAGAAAGTAGATGTTCTGGCTGGTTTCAAGGTAGGGATTCTGCTCAGAAAAGACAACGCTGCTGTAAAGTTAAAGCTACAATCAGTTAGTGGTTATAACTCGTCTCTCTTGCTCCAAACCCCTGCCCATGAAACACTGGGGTCAAAAATTCCAATGGAGCATCCTTAAAGAGGTTAGAGAGCTACCAAATCACTGGTGCTTCTGATGGAAGAAATGACATGTTTGTAGGAGGTGCTGGGTGAAAATCAAGGTTCACGCCATGAATAACAGAGTTTCAAAATTGTTTTGGAAGCTAAGTCTCGAAAACGTGTGAAGATTGTCACAGCTCTTAAACCTGAATAGCCATATTTAATGTACTTTGACTCTGCATCTTCTTAATAGGAGAAAAACTTTCATTTCCTTTATTGGAAATCAGTATGTGGAACGTTTTAAACAAGTTTAGAAACCTCGATTTAACAAGTCAAATTCCAGCTTTTTAGGGGAAAAAGACAAGCGTTTCTGGGGCTGTCGGTGTTTTCCAGGATGTAGGTGGCCTTTTAGGTGCCATGGTTAAGGAAGTCACAAAGTGACATCTTTTAAGGGAAGGAGAACAGCTGGACGTTATTTTTCACATTAGTAATAATGATTTGGGTAGCAAGTAAAATGTGGCTCTGCAATCATAGAAAATTAGCAAGCCAGATCTCATATGTAGTAACCTCCAGATTACTGCCAGTATCACACACAGATATGAGCAGAAACAGAGATTAATACATGTGAACAACGGCTGCAAAAGTGGTACAGGAGGGAGGGCTTCTGGTTCCTGGGGCATCTTTCCCTTCAAAGATGGAACCTGTGCAAGATGGAAGGGTTGCACCTGGACAGCGTTCGGATAGAGGTTCTTGCAGGAGTGTTTTGCGAGTGCCATAGGAAGAATTTTAAACTACTCAGTAGGGGCGTGGGTTCCAAGAGTGAATATTATAGAGGAGCTGTAGGGTGCATGAAATACTTGGAGATGAATAGCACCAAAAGGACTAAACATTTTGTAATACAGAAAGTATCATAATTACTTGAGGTAGGTTGCATGGAGCAGAGGATCAGTTCCGGGCATTCGTTGTCAGTATGTCGATAGATTGCCCATGAACTGCAAAATTTACGCAGGTTTATTGCAGCTGCATATATTATTCAAGTGGAAATAAACTAATATGTACTTGATCTGGAGGTTATTAATTATGCAACGTATTTCCAACATATTTTAAGACTTCTTTAGTTATATAACATGTATACTTTCAAAATTATTCTTACTTTAAAATCCTGTGACATCAAGTACCATTCAAAGAACAAGGTAAAATATACAAAATCATTACCAAAAGCTCCTCCAATTTCAGCACCACTGGTTGGAATGTTAACATTTACAATTCCGCAGTCTGAACCTTTGGGTCTGAAAAGAAATAAAAATTTGTAATTTAGTAGGACTGAGCCACAAGAAACAAATGATATTCTGAATGTTACACCAGAAGATTTTTTTTTCCAATCCACTATTTTGCGTAGTGTGTGACTCAAACCATTTCCAACTTTATCCTGCTGCATTTTGCATGTGATACAAAATATAATTTGAGCAAATTCAAACATGAACA